GGCGACATGGAAGGAGGATATAACCATATTTGAGTAAATGCTTTATTCTTAGAAATCGGAGGTAGTTTGTATAAGCACATCTACCAAACAAAGAATATAATGCTCCCGATTCTTTTACGGCTCTTATTGTGTAAAAATAAAGTTGCTCTATGCTGTGTTATTAAAGAAAGAAGAAAATTGTGTCGCTGTACAACTGCGCTAACAATAGCAATGGAAATTAAGATATACCTTTAATATCACACAATATTAGAGTATAGGCATTTTAAGGCGATTGGTGGGTAAATTCTCTGCAAAATCCATGCAATAATCGGAAATTCGCGAACGAAATTGGAAAATAAATAAAACTACTCGGACAAATAAATCGACGTTTAATAAGGCAATCGAGAGTCACAAGTGTAATAATTGGTCAAGGTAAGACACGCACTATCTCGAACAACATTTTTGCATCTCAACCAAGAGTCAAGAGGTCCTTATGTATGGCCTTTAAAACGACAACTACGTCCCGTGTGCCTATTGAACTTTCTCCTTTATCTCGTTTATCCTAATCGGGCAGCCAACGCGGCCATTATTTATTTAGACAGACTAAGAAGTGACGCGTCACAGCCTTGCCGTCACAGCCAAATCGAAACGTATCAGCTGGGTGGAGGCCGAGCCGGGCCGATTGACGGAGGTCGTGAGGGAGGGGCGAGAATCGAGTGTTAATTGGTACTTTACCTGCCTTACGCGTCATGACAACTGCCATAACGAGCGCGAATTCAGTCGAGCGGCGACAAAAAAAAAAAAGAAAACAAAGTGTCGCGTCTTTGATGCGGCAGCAGAATGAGAATCGAGGCGCGAGTTCGTTATCCGTAATCCCCGCTTTCGGCATTTGCATTCGACGTGCATTCGACGTGCATTCGCGGCGGCGGTGCATTTTGCCGAGGAGAGAGGGATACATTTGGATGGGACACAGTGGGAAGTCGGGCGCGTTGTTCCGCCTCGGTCTGCATAAACGCAGCGCCACGGAGTCTTATTAATCGCGGTAAAAGAGTCACGTGCGATATCGAGCCTTTTAGGGTCTGTCGATGGGTGTCGATTGGTGTCAATTGGTTGCGAGAGGGGGAGAACCTGGACGGAGTTTTTATCGAGTTTGGGATTTTATTCGCTCGAGCGAGAAGCCGCTGGACTCGCGTGCAAGGCGACATGGCCAAAGGGAGTAAGGCCTGCCATGATAATGAATACGAACGATCCCACTGATTTCGGCCTCGGTGGACTTTTAAACAAAACGCTCAAAGTAAATAAATAAACCCTAAAATGGTATGTGCTTTGTCACGATGTTGTCCCATTAATCGACTCTCCTATCAGCTCCTCCGGCCGTTTGCTCAGAGCGACTCAAGAGAAAAACCATTTGCATTTATGCTCGGACGCGAGCTCTGACTGTCTCTGAACTTTTGCTCCTGTGAATGCGCGGGCGCATCGGGTCTTTGGTAATAATAGCCGATGATGATACGATAGACTTAATGTTAAATTTTTACCAAAGGCTCGAGTCATTGGAAAAATGACTGCTTTGGTTGAACATCGGTTCTCAATATTATTACACGTAAATACGCATCGAGCTATCCACATGTGAGTCACGTAGATTTTGTAGTTATATCTTTGCCCTTGAAAAGGTACCATTCGAGCCGAAGCCCTTTTTCCTGTACATTTTCTTTTCGTAGGGTCCTTCGGCTCCGGGAAAATGTCGTAAAAAATTGCAAAACAACAACTTCTGCGCTACCTGCACTTAGGCTCATAGACGGGCGGATACCGATATCGATATATCTTTAGAATTTTCTTAGAAAGGAAGTAAATAAGGGAGGAAAGATATTTAGAGAAAAAAAAGGACTGGTTTGCAGTTAGTGTGGAGTAAGTGTATCACGATATAAGAGACGAGATAAAATGATAAACGTGTATAAGCGGTGAAAGATAACTTGATTGTAAAAAAAACTGTCGGTGGTGACTGTGGTTCGTTACCTTGTTAATCGATGCGTCGATTTTTAATTACACATTATGTAGCACAAGAGATGTAACACAAGAGTTGATTTAAAATATTTTTATACGTTGCTTCTCTTAATATTGTAATTCAAAAATTAATATTTCAACCTTCTTAAACTATGTATGAACAAATTCATTATTCGCAGACAATTAATTTGTATAATTAATATATTAACATACGAATATAGAACATACGAATACGAACACATACCAATGTATTTGCATGTGATATCTTATGTAATACAAAACAATAATTTAATATTACTGCTTATAGAATAGTAACATTTAACGCAAATGTAAAGATTTATATCAAGTTATGTAACACAAAGAAAAATGGAAACACGTAATGGAATATGTAATAAAATACACAGTTAATAATAATAATAATAATAATAATAATAATAATAATAATATAAAAGTAATAATGATTAATTCAAATAATGAAAAATTGATTTCCCGACATTAGATTAGTTGCAACAAACTATAGTTGAATATCGTTTCGCTCATCGATGTGATCTTTTCTTTATAAAGTAACCGTCAAATAAACAAACAAAATCCGCCGAAAAAAAAAACATTTTTTATTTACATACAGAATTTCTACAATTGTTCTAAAATTATAGAATATAGTATTTTACGTAAATGGTAAATGCCAGACTCCAATGAACACCGATGCTTCGAAATCTAAATAATATGAACGCGGATGAAGTTTGTATAAAAAGTAATGATAAATTTTTTAAAAACTTAAGCATAAAGGCAAAAAGATGCTTGAGAAATCGAAATGTCTCTATTCTTAGAGACATCTTGAAAAATTTTAAAATTAGAATGATATATGTGGGTGTAGGACTACACGAAAATCAAAAAAAAAAAAAAAAAAAAAAAAAAAAAAAAAAACGAATAATAAAAGGGATCAAAGAAACTCTGCATGTTCGGGATCTTTTATCAATCAAAAGTAAAATTGTTTGCTAAATAATAAGAAAGTTTTTACAAACGAAGCTACTGTAATACAAAGTAGAAGAGAAAGAAGCAAATACGGTAATAAAGGAGATAGTTGAAGGTCGGATAGAAGGTTATACAGTGAGTAAATAAGATAAATAGTGAGAAAAAGTAATGAAGACGAAGAAGAGAGAGATAGATGATGCCCAAGACGACGGAGAGTGAATTCGATGCACATTGCGGTAGTTTGATAATCAAGATCGGTAGAGTATGCATTATTAAGCATTTAATAATATAATTAAACATTTTACGCGAATAACAAGACTTACAAGTTTTTATAAATTATCCTAGACTATCGTGTTGCTTGGTATAGTTTAACGATTAAAGGTTACATTTTATGTAAACTTTGAAAACGTAATGTTGTACATTTCCAAACGATTGCTCTTAAGTTGCAGAGGAATCGATGAACGCCAAGGGACAAACGTTCGCCCTTCCAACCCTAACTATACAGTTATATAACGTGCTCGATATAAAAGTTCTCGCACCTCTGAAATGCACATTGAAAGCTGCACTCCTAAACGAGCTACCAATAAATTAAATTACTCGCTCCTCGCTTTATACATTTTTCAAGGCGCATTGAGCGCCATAACGGAAAAATATAGCTCTGGATTTTTCAAGCGGTAAGTACATAGACCGATCGACACGCCTCCGGCTCTCATAATTCATGCCGACGCACCGAGACTCGATTTCGAAAAATCGACGTCTACCGAGCCGAGAAAAATAGTGATAAAGGGCGCGCGGATGCCGCGTCACACCTCGAAGAGAAAATAGAAAATTCGCCTGATCGCGTCTTACGCACGTCACCCACC